TATCATTTCCTCAAATCTTTTTTCAAGGTTCTTAGTTTCTTTGCATTGAGTTAGAACGTGTTCTTTTAGCTCACGGAAGTTTCTCATTGCCCACCTTCTGAAGTCTGATTCTGTCATTTCATCACAGTCATTCTCCGTCCAGCTTTGTTCCCTTGCTGGTGAGGAGTTGTGGTCCCTTGTAGGAGGCAAGGTGTTCTGTTTTCAGGTGTTTTCCTCCTTTTTGCGCTGGTTTCTTCCCATCTTTGTGGATTTATCCACCTGGCGTCTGAGTAGTTGCTGATTTTCCAATTGAGTCTCTGAGTGGACGTCCAGATAGTGATGATGAAGTATTTCTGTTTCATAGTTTTCCTTCTAACAGTCTGGCCCCTCTGCTGTAGAACTACTGAGGTCCACTCCAGGCCCTGCTTGCCTGGGGTACACCTGTAGCAGCTGTGGAACTGTGAGGGTTGCTACCTGTTTCTTCTTCTGCTATCTTTGTCCCTGAATGATGCCTGCCAAATGTCAGTCTGATCAGTCCTTTGTGAGGTGACTCTTTGGATATACGGGTCAGGGAGCTGCTTGAGGAGACTGTCTGTACTTTATACTTGAGGAGATAGTCTGTACTTTATAGGAGCTCAAGTGCTGAGCCGTGAGCCCTGTTGTTCATTCAGAGCTGCTGGGCAAGTACGTTCAAGTCTGCTGCAGCAGAACTCATAAAGCCCCTTTTTTTCCTCAGGTGCTCTGTCCCGGGGAGTTAGGGCTTTATTTATGAGTATCCATTGCACTATCCTGCCCAGCAAGGAGGCAGTCTAATCACTGCTTGCCTGTAGTGGCTATGCTGAGCTGCCGTGGGCTCTGCCCTGTTGCCGTGGGCTCTGCCCTGCTGCCATGTGTAATTCCCCGTGGTCCTGTTTATATGGGTGTGGTAAGAGCTGCCGTGGTGATGATGGCCCACCTCTGTATTGGCGGACTCTCTCTGTTATGGCGGGTTGCCTCGGCAACAGCAGGATGCATCAGCAATGGCAGTGTACCTCTATAGGGGTCGAGTGCCTCGGTAATGGCAGACGCCCCTTCCCTTCCGTGCTGCACCGTCCTGGGTTCAGCTGTGCTTGCCGTGAAACTCTCAACCCCGTGCATTTCCAATTGCTGTTTTGTTTTTGTGGGGGTGGGACCCGCCAAGCCTGATCACCTGGCTCCCTGCCTCAGAGTCCTTTTTTAGTTTTTTTTAAGCTGAACGGTTGACTCTCTCCCAGGTGTTCCAGTCACCTGCTGAAAGGACGCCAGGATCTGTGTGATTTCCCGTGCAGCGACCCACTGTGCCAGCTGGAATCACGTTGCTGCCCAGGAATCTCCTGGCCTGGCTTTCTGTTTAAGTCCCGTTTAACCAGATGAATGTGCTAATCTGCCTTCCGAAATCTCCAATTGCCGGTTTAACAGGGCAACCAAACCAGTGTATTTTGTACGGAGTGCCGCTGCGCTGTGGCCCTGGCCCAAACAGCTGTGCTGGTGGCCCGTGCGGCTCCTACACCTGGGAATCTCCTGGTCTGTGAGCAATAAAGATACGTCTGGAAATGCGGCGTCCACTCACCATCTGTGGATTCACTGGGAGCTGCAATCCTGAGTTGGTCCTACAGCGCGTTTTCTCTCTCCCCGCCAATTTCTAAATTTTTAAAAAGTCCACTACATGTGCCTAACGTGCCAGCAATTAATAAGAAAGAAAGAGATGACTAGAAAAATCAAAATACAAGCATGCTGAAAACCTAAGAATCAAATCCAACAGATTCAATCATTAATTTCAGTATAAGTCTGCATTAACTCATATCTAGATTCATACTTGAAGAGTTTTGCAAGAAATAACTCCGGTCTGGTTATTATGGCCCACATCCACCTGAAAATCTAAATCTTCAACAATTTTCACTATGCCATTCCTCTGCTGAAAACCAATTCTCCATTACCTACTAATCAGGTCTATACGTAACTCTGGCTACATAAGATCACCATGATTTGACCTAATCCAATCTATTCGACTTTATTTCTGTGGTGAGAATGGTATATTAAACATGGCTACAAATTCTCTGTAGTTACACTGATGAAGATGTGGTATCTATTTCTTCTATTTTTTAATATACGTAGGCCTCTTGACTTGCAATGATGAACAGAATATGGCAGAAGTGACAATATGTTACTTCTGATGCTGAGCCTCAAGAGGCCATCCAATTCCTGCTATTTCCCTCTTGGAACACTACCATGTAAGAAATCTGGGATATCCTTCCAGAAAAGAAATATTCAAGTGAGCCAGTTAATTGTCAACCTAATGGCCAAATATGCAAGTGACTCCATAGATTTAAAGATTATTTTGCAGAAAGAAAAACCCATATTTAAGTCGAGCTTTCCCTTCACGCAACAAAAACAAGACATTTGGCAGTCAGAAATTAGCAAATTGAAGTATCAGTATTGAAGGTGGAACCATAAGAAAAGTGAGCAATTATTTATAAGTCTAAATTGTTAAGGGGAGAAATCTTTTAGGAGCAAAATCTCCATGATATAGAAGGAGATTTTATTACAACCAAAGCAAACTCCCAAATCAACTAGAATAGTAGCTATTCTTGGTGATCTCCTACCTAAGACTTTTAGGTCACTGATTTCTGTTTTCTGCTCAGGGAGGCAATACAGTTATTCAGAGTTCAGGTTTTGGAGTCAAACTCCTGGGATTCAAAGTTGGCTCTACCACTTGTGAAAAGTGTGACCTTTAGCAAATTAAATTACTTAACATCTCTGTAATTCTTAATCTGTAAAATGGTTACAAGCATGGTACTAACATCTCATAAAGACAGTGTGAAATTCAGTAAGATGATCCATGCAAAGTCCTTGGCACAGTACCTGGCGTGTGATAAATGACAGCTATTATTACTAACACCTAAATTATCACTCTTTAGAATGAATAAGACTCTTCTGAAAGATCATCTTCCTCCATGATGTTCCCTGAGTACCCCAAGTAGGAAAGAATGTAATAGAAAATTCAAGGAGTTCTGTCCACTTTCTAATCCCTGACCACTTGCTATCTTCTTGAATGGTACTACTACTACAAATGACAAGAATAATGTTTCATTCATTTGTATCTTAGTATCTAGCATTGTCTTCCACAGGACATAAAAGGACCCAAATAATATTATTGTGAAGAAAAAAGTTATGAAACTAGAGAAAGAAAAATCTCAGTCTAAACAAACAGTGAAGGGCAGTGAGAATAGAAAATGAGAGGACCATGGGTATCTTCTCTACAGCATCAAGAGTAATTTAACATTGCCAACTGCGTTCTCCCTCACAGAATGTTCCTCAGTTTCCATAACAGCTCTCTCCAGCTATTCTTCCCCAGCTATTCTTAAGGCTCTCTGCACAACTGGATGTTTCCAATTTCTACCCCTTAACTTACGTGTTTCTCAAAGAGAAATGAACTTTCAGCTCTTTTTCACTATACCACTTCCCTTAGGGTCAATTACCACCTCTGGAGTAATAACGCTCAAATTATCATTTCTAGCTTTTCTAGTTTGAGAAACAAGTACTACATGATCATCTTCACATATGAAGGAGAGGAATTAAAAGATACTAGGTAATGTTTTACCTCAATAAATTTGGAAAAAAATACAGAGATCACTTATTAATATTATGTTTACTTGCTCCCTGAAAATATATAGGAGACTTTGATTTTCCAAATAGTTGATGCCTTCTAACAGGTAAGTACACATTTTGTACAGACTAGAAACAGCAATGATAATCATTCTCCACATTCCAGATCCAGTTGTTTAATGATCAACTTTAGTTTCTGCATTTTAATAAGTTATGGTTAGACTAATTCAGCCTCCCAGTTATGTCCGTTACTGTTCATATAAAATTTTTAATATATACTAGTTTAAATCATAGTTTACATTTAACATATCAAGTTTTAAAAATACATACGGGAAATGAAATCTAAGTACATAAATGAAATGGCATCATTTTTCTTTTTTTTTTTGAGATGGAGTTTCACTGTTGTTACCCAGACTGGAGTGCAATGGCACAATCTCGGCTCACCACAACCTCCGCCTTCTGTGTTCAAGCAATTCTCCTGCTTCAGCCTCCCAAGTAGCTGGGACTACAAGCGCGCACCACCATGCCCAGCTAATTTTTGCATTTTTAGTAGAGACAGGGTTTCACCTTGTTGACCAGGATGGTCTTGACCTCTTGACCTCATGATCCACCCGCCTCGGCGCCCCAAAGTGCTGGGATTATAGGCGTGAGCCACTGCGCCCGGCCATGGCATCATTTTTCTACATTAAAATTATATGCAACTATAGAGAAATGATATTGGGGTGTCCCTGGGCCACACTGGAAGAAAAATTGTCTTGGGCCACATATAAAGTACACTTAATGATAGCTGATGAGCTTAAGAAAAAATAAAAACATCTCAAAATGTTTTAAGAAAGTTTACAAATTTGGTGTTGGGCCTCATTCAAAGCTCTTGTCGCCACCTGTGGCCTGTAGGCTGTGGGTTGGACAAGCTTACTCTGTAATTAAATGTATGGAGATAGAAAACTGTCATGCTAAGATATTTAACTTGGCCGGGCGCAGTGGCTCAAGCCTGTAATCCCAGCACTTTGGGAGGCCGAGGCAGGGGGATCACGAGGTCAAGAGATCGAGACCATCCTGGTCAACATGGTGAAACCCCATCTCTACTAAAAATACAAAAAATTAGCTGGGCATGGTGGCACGTGCCTGTAATTCCAGCTACTCAGGAGGCTGAGGCAGGAGAATTGCCTGAACCCAGGAGGCGGAGGTTGCGGTGAGCCAAGATCACGCCATTGCACTCTAGCCTGGGTAACAAGAGTGAAACTCCGTCTCAAAGGAAAAGAGAAAAAAAAGATATTTAACTTTTGGCAAAGACAATAGTTTATAAAAATAATTATTTTTCCTAGCTGAATGAAGCACTGTACCTAAAAACAAAATACAATATTTCATCATTCCTCCTTCAGTATTTTGGAACCTACCGGAGAGATTCGGCCATTCGCCTCAAGTCTTCATTCTGCTGTTTTAAGCGTTCAAGCTTTGCCAGAATCTTGGACAGTTCTCGGCTAGAGTGATCAGGGTGGTCATTATCTCGTACCAAGTGACCACCTATATAAAACAGCAAGGTCCCCCAGGCAAAAAGAATAAGCATAATCCAACGCCAGGAACCAGTCCATGGCCGCATTTTCAGATTTTCAACTCACTTCCCTGGAGTCCCGGAGCTCAAAGAATTGAAAACATTGTAACTCTGTTTCTAGTTAGTGCACAGGTGAATAGACTTCTGTTGTTTCAACACATGATGCTTCAGACAAATTATTCTCTCTGGCAGTCCTGTGGTGAATCTTTCACAGAGATCCTTCTGGTGATATGTGTAGGAAGCTTTATTGTCCTGTACTTCATGGACTCTACATACTGTGGAAAGAGTAAGAAATGTATTTAAATTATTTAAGATATATAAAATGGCATATGCTGAGATTCATGGAGTTAAAGGAAACACATTGGTGTTGACTGGCCAACAAGTTAAAAGATTACCTAACTGCCTAATAATTAGTAAAAGGTAAAAGCTTTAAATCTGTTAATCTGTATACTAAAATCAACCATGTACATTAGTGCTCTACCAGATAACAGACTAATTAGTTCTAAGCCTTGAAGTGCCATCATCACTTTATTTTCCTCTTACATAATTATATAATAGCTTATATATGAAGACTTAAAAATTGCATCTTTGAACAATCAATCAAAAACAAAACGTACTCAACCACATATTTTGGGCTAGTATGTTCATTCTCTCAAGAAAAAAACATGTTCCCTGTATGGGAGTTCATACCTACCAGTTCTCAACTCCATTCTCTTCCCTTATTGCTGAGCTACCATTATTCCATTTAACTCTACAGGTGACAGGCAAATTGTCACTTTTAGGATAAATTCTAAAACTGACATGCATATTAGCCAAGTAAAGGTTATCACAGCCATTAAACAGCTGGCAGTCATTCCAAATAGCAGAAGCAAAGTTCAAATGGATCAGGCTTTTCCAGGCCTGGTTACAGGCTTCATTTGTCATTTTACAATGATTAGGCTTAGAATTCCCTTAGAAACAAAACTATTCTCTCTCCAAAGAGAGAATCTGTAGGCAAAGATACAATTTAAAACCTTTTGATAGGCCAGCCACAGTGACTCACATCTGTAAATCCCAGCACTTTGGAAGGAGACAAGGCAGGAGGATTGCTTGGGCCCAGAATTTGAGACCAACCTGACAACATGAAATCCTATCTCTACAAATTTTTTTTTTTAATTTTAAAAACCTTTTGATAATTTCAAAGCTACAGAAGAGAAATCATATGTCCAGACAGAGTTCCATATTAAAGAGAAGAGAGAAAAAACAAGAACTCATTTCTGTATACAAGACTGAACGTCGGGGCACCTGACCACCAATCAAACAGCAGTAAAAAGATTAGCAGAAAAGATAAAGAGGCTTCAAAAATCAGAGCACAGGGACACTATTTTTCTACTTTTGCACCTTAAATGTTTTTAAAACACCAAGTATTCAAAGAGAAGAAAATCTCTTCAAATGGCTGTCCTCTCTTTCCTTCCCATTTACCATTTACTCCTACACCATTTACCTTAATGTTACTGATTTACACTGGCTAAAACATAGAATGAAAAGAAGTGTACCTGCTGAGAAATAATCCAAATTAAAAAGAAATAATCCAAGTAAAAAGTTGTCTGTTGTTTTAATAACTATTCATAAATCTGTGAAGAACGCCCTTTTTATTCACTCCATTGTTCATCCTCTCCCTTTCTCAAAAGTCTCAAATTCTCACTCCTCTAAACTCAGGTATCCCCTATTTCTCATCTAATGTAAAAACAATACAGATATTTAGGGCTCTGTGACTTAAAAACCAAATTAAAAAAGAAATGCATTCTGATGGCATATTCAATTCAGTAAGTCATTTGAATTAATAATTTTGTGACAACATATGCAATACTGTAAAATGTTATATGCTGAAACTATAATATATCCTTAATAATTCCACACTATTAAGATATACAGTTGTCCCTTAGGACCCTCCATGGACACCAAAATCCACAGATCTTTGAGTTACTTACATAAAATGGTGTAGTATTTACATATAGCCTACACACATCCTCTGAAATACTTTAAATCATCTCTAGATTACTTATAAAACCTAATAGAATGGAAATGCTATGTAGATAGATGATTTTTTGGTTTCTTTGGCAAATATTTTGATCTGTAGCTGGATGAATCCATGAACACTAAAACTGCAGCTACAGAGGGTCAACTGTAGTATATCAGGTATTAAAATTTTTTTCTTTCCCTTCCCAGCAAAAGTAATGCAGAAAACAGAAAACTGTGATAAACAAATAAAGCAAAGGTAGCTTTCTTAAAAAGAATAATTTAAATAATAAAAAGATATGCTGAAACATTTTCCTTGGAATTATAATAAAAATATATTTAAAGCCAGCATAACTTGAATAGTAAAAAAACTTTAAACAAACACAAATTTTGAATAACAACATTTGTATAACAAAAAATACTATAGATTTTTTATAAACCATCACCAAAAATATCTAAAACATTACATTACTAAATTACATATTAATATTGATAATACTTGAGTTGTAAAAAGCAATACATTTTATAGAAGCAAGACATTGTCATTTTCTTAAATAATAGCATAATTTGAACTACGTTTTTGGAGAGAATGTTTCACATGTTTTGTCTTTACTAGTATTTTTTAAATCCCTAGTTTTCGGGTCAAAAAAACCAAGTTAAACTAAAAAACAAGTAGTTTTCTGTGCAAGTTTCCTCTGCATGGTTTAAAAGGACAAGTACAGAATTTTTTCCCTATCTACTAACTACAATGAATGCTTGCTTACTTACTTATGATTACTGTTTATTGTCTGAACCATGCTTGCTAAAATATAAACTCCATAATTTTGTTCATTGCGTTCACTGATATATCCCAGGCACTCAGAATGGTATTTGGCACTTAGTAGGCATTAATGAATACAGCTTAAACTGCATTTATGCCCTACTTAAGATAGCAAATGGTAAAGCAGAAAGTGAGAGAATGCTATTATAAGAAAATGGTTCAAAAATAGTCATTAATAAACTTTCATATTATTGTCAACATGTATCTTATAAAGACATTCCTTGGTTGATTACATTTAATTGGCCTAAAAGACCAAGAGAGTCTTTCTTTCTTTTTTTTTAAGACAGTCTTGCTGTTACCCAAGCTGGAGTGCAGTGGCACAATCTCAGCTCACTGCAACCTCTGCCTCCAGGGCTCAAGAGATTCTCCTGACTCAGCCTTCTGAGTAGCTGGGATTACAGGGGCCTGCCACCATGCCTGGCTCATTTTTTGTATTTTTAGTACAGTCAGTGTTTCACCATGTTGGCCAGGCTGACCTCAAGTGATCCGCCTGCCTTGACCTCCCAAAGTGCAGGGATTACAGGCATGATCCACTGCATCCGGCCAAGAAGAATTTTATGGTTTACCTTCTAATGGTGAAAAAATAATTTATCTTGTTTTCTTAATTTAGAAGATTCAATTTGCAAAGACAATGATATGACTGAAGAAAGTATATACAGCCTTTGATGTGTAAGCCACTCAACTTATTTATGGACGAATTAGTAAAAATGGTTCAAATTAGTAAAAATATTTCAAAATTAATTACATATATCATGAGCTAATTTCTAACTAAAATTTATATAGCAGAGTTTGTTGAGATTTCTTCCAGAGTGAGTTTTCTTTTCAAGAATTTACAAATTTATTACTGCTTAAGACTCACATAGTACCCTTTTTCTGTAAAATACTAAGTGGACTGAAATGTGCCAGGATTCTTTCTGCAAATTTATTTAATTAGCGATATCACTTTTTTTGAGACAAAATTGGCCAGGTGCAAAGGGCGGGTAAATCACAAAATTGGGAGTTCAGGACCAGCCTGGCCAACATGGTGAAACCCTGTCTCTATTAAAAATACAAAAATAGCCAGGCATGGTGGCCAACGGCTATAATCCCAGCTACTTGGGAGGCTGAAGCAGAGATTTGCTTGAACCCAGGAGGCAGAGGTTGCTGTGAACCGAGATCACGCCACAGCACTCCAGCCTGGGCAACAGAGTGAGACTATCAAAAACAAACAAACAAACAAACAAAAAACAGAGAAAGAGACAAAATCTTGTGCTGCCTAGGCTAGATTGATAACACTTTTTTAAGGTACTGAAGTATTTAAATAATTCAATTCTTTTGGTATTTAGAGAGTCTTTGGGGAATATTTGTTTAATTTCTCTGGAACAACAAATATATTTGATTTTTCGAAGAACTTTTTCTGAATCTGGAAGCTAGAGTGTAATATCAGTAAGATAAGAAAGACTTCATAGAGAAATTAGATCCAATATGGCCGATCGATAACAGCTCGGGATTGCAGCTCTCAGTCAAAGCGCAGAGAACTAGTGGACGCCACACTTTCAGACAAATTCTGGTCGCTCACGGAGCAGAAGATCCCCAGTGGAGGAACGACACAGGTTGCCAGCGAGACTCTTGTGGCCAGCGCAGCGGTTTCACCGGCACCTCTGCAGCAGCTCTCAGAACAGAGTAAACAGGGCTGGCTCCCCTTCTGACCGAGGCTTGGAGGACCCACACGGGCCACCAGCGCGACTCTTGTGGCTGGCGTAGCAGCTTCCCCGACACCTCGGCGCGGCAGCTCTCGGAGCAGAGTAAACAGGGCCGGCTCCCCTTCTGACCGAGGTTTAGAGGACCCACATGGGTCCTCAGCATGACTCCTGAGACCGGCGCAGCTGCTGTGACGGCACCTCAGCGCGGCAGCTCTCAGCGCAGAGTAAACGAGACTGGTTCCCCTTCTGAGTGAGGTTTGGAGCCCGGGGAAGGCAGAGTCGCCCATTACGGACACAGAAGGAAGCCAGACAGGAGAATCCTGGGCAGAAAAGCACCATCAGTCTTAACGGCGCCGTTCTGGCCCTGGGAACTAACAACTTGGACGTCCAATCAAGAGACCTAATCTGAAAGTTGGTAATTTCAAAGACGACAGGAGGATAAATTTACAAGGATGGGAAGAAACCAGCGTAAAAAGGTTGAGAATACTCAAAATCAGAACGCCTCTCCCTCTAAAGATGATCACAGTTCCACATCAACAATGGAACAAGGCTTGATGGAGAACGAGCGCATCCCGATGACAGAATCACTCTTCAAGGAATGGATAAGAAGAAAATTCTGTGAGTTAAAAGAACATGTTGTAGCCCAACGTAAAGAAACTAGAAACTTTGAAAAAAGGTTTGACGAAATCCTATTGAGAATAGACAACTTAGAGAGGAATATAAGTAAATTAATGGAACTGAAGAATAACAATACAGGAACTCCGAGAAGTATGCA